CGTGAAAACGCTGCCAATAGAGATATACGGCTGACGTGAAAACGCTGCCAGTACGATACGGTTAAGATATATGGTGTGTCGTGAAAACGCTGCCAGTACGATACAGTTTAAGATATATGGTGTGTCGTGAAAACGCTGCCAATAGAGATATACGGCTGACGTGAAAACGCTGCCAGTACGATACGGTTAAGATATATGGTGTGTCGTGAAAACGCTGCCAGTACGATACAGTTTAAGATATATGGTGTGTCGTGAAAACGCTGCCAATAGAGATATACGGCTGACGTGAAAACGCTGCCAGTACGATACGGTTAAGATATATGGTGTGTCGTGAAGTAGAACATTCGAAAATAAAGCTAACTGTGTAACGTAGAACCATTCGTGTTGTCCTTTTCCTACACTTTTAAAATCGAGATTATAGGAGAGACCCATAATCCGGCTGAGAGATAGCCCAGCTATAAACCGGAGAACCGTGTACGTTACAATACATATTTACATATATTATTCCTTTTTTCTCTTTTAGAGTAGTAATGGAAATAGGGTTGCTGGTAAGTATTTTAATTGGGAGTAAATTCATGGTGGGTAAGTATTGGAAAGTAATAGGGTAGGTATATCTGTTTATGAGTAAGTATATTTCATTATTTCATTATTATGTTGATATATTTTCCAGATATATATTTTAATATAAAATTCGATGACGTCTTCGCTCATGTCTTCTACATGTCGGGGGACCTGTGGGGTCGTAACATGTACTAAGTCCTCCAGTTGTTGTAATGCCTTCTTGGCATCGATGACCAGGCCGGTGAGTCGACGTTGGAGGGCAGAGTTAGAATGACTTCGGGATTTTTGGGCGTTGACTTTTTGGTGACCTTTTCTTTTTGGGATTTCCTGCCTTTTCGCGGCTTTTCGCGCCCTTTGCGAGCCCTTTTCGAAGTCTGGACTCGTTTACTAGCAACAGGTTTACCGCGTGGTTGTTTGAGGGCTCTTTCGAACTGCTGGGCGTGTTTCGTGTATGTGAAGCTCTGCAGCAGCAAATGGTGAACGAGTCTATAGCGGTGACAGCTGTCTGTAGAATTACAGATTCCCGTCACGTGCGAGGTCGACAAACAGTTTATATAATGTTTATGCACCCTCGCAGACTCATATTGCTTCTGTGGTCTGAAAAGACATCATTCGAAAAGCAATTTCGGTATGAACTGATGGAGAGTGGAGGTGTGCAGTATTTACCATTTCAAGAGAGAAGAAAAGGGGGTTATATAAGCTAAGCGAGTGTCAAAAGGCAGAGCTTGGTTATGTTGCGGTTGACCATTCCGGCTTGAATGCGGATGTCTACCACGCGAATCGAGAGTAAGGGTGCGCCTCGTAAGAAGTGGCCTGGGGTTTGTACCTTCAGGTCCTTGGGATCTTGAGACATAGGAGAGAGTAGTCTTGAGTTGAGTACCGCTTCGATGCGTATAAGGAGAGTGGTAAAGTCCTCGAAGGTGAACTTTTGATTTCCTAAGGTCGCTAGTGAAGTGAGTTTTGAAGCTTTGAATGCCTCTTCGTCCTACAAATCGTGCGAATGCTGCTTTAAACGCTTATTGTGTTAGGTCGGAACATACATCAAGATGAATGACTTTCGTTGAGAAAAATACGAATACACACACGTATGTCTAGGAGTGGGATGCTCGGCGGAGACTCGAGGTTTTGACGAGGAATGGTCCGGAAAAATCTATACTGGTAGTATGGAATGGGAGTGTATATGTGGACCGTTCAGGGGGTAATGCTGCCATCAATTGCGCGCTCATCTTCTGCTCATCAGCTGCTTCTCCGCGTGAAGTGAAGTTGAGTTGAGGAATTTGGGGAGTTGGGAGCAATATCGGGAACTATTGGGTGTGATAATTGGATGATGCTCATCGTAGCTGAGGGCGGCATGAGTGAAACGTTCATTTGCACGCAGCAGCCCTGTTTTATACAGAAAGTGATTAAGAGTACGAAGAGGATCTCCTTTTTTATCGAAAATTTCGACTACAGTGCTGCGATGGTTTTTTCGAAATATTTTCGCTGGGTGACAGCTATGGGAAGAGTTTTTGCGAACTTTATATTGCCTTGAGTGAGAGTGGTAGAGGGCGGGTTTCGCATTTTCCTAGTCTTTTGTGCGCAGCGAATTATGTACGCTGTTGCCCTGAGAGCGGTGGAAAAGGAAAAGAAACGCTCTAGAAGATCAGAGCATTCTAAAGCGTGAGATTCTTCAATTTGTGGTTGTTCGGGAGGAGACGAATGAGTTGGCCAATTTTTAGGCCAAGTAGAGGATGACCTAGTTTCCCATTCGAGGCCTTTCCATCCGAGTGAGCAGTTGGCGAGTTCTTAGGGCTTAGCTCCACGCGTACCAGATCAGCTGGGTTGTCAGCGCTGGAGACATGTCGCCACGTAGCATTGCTCACGAGTTCGAGGATGTGAGATGTCCTGTACGCTTTCCACGTCCACGGGGTTTTTTACAGCCAAAATTAGTTCATGATATGGCACAAAATTAGTTCATGATATGGCACAAAATTAGCTTATGATATGGCAGATATAGGAAGGATCGGATCTGCCCTACTATTGTAGTTTTGCTAATAAAACTGCG